TTTAAAAAAAAAAATCCTGGTGACCCCAAAGTTTTGAACTATAGTGAATCAGAGAAAACAATCATTTCAACCAAGTATTTTTTTTTTTATCCATGCTTGGTAATAAAAGTAATATTTACCTATTTTTTTTTTCTCAATAAAACATTTTAATTCATGAGTGATGCCATGATTGTATCTTTAAATCTGAATTTTAAATTGATTATTTGAAGCTGACAATTGGAAATTCAATGCACACAGACTGAAGTAGTTTAAGTCTTTGGTTCTTTTAATTGTGATGATTTTGGCTCACATTTAACAAAAACCCACCAATTCACTATCTAAACAAATTAGAATATGGTGACATGCCAATCAGCTAATCAACTCAAAACACCTGCAAAGGTATCCTGAGCCTTCAAAATGGTCTCTCAGTTTGGTTCACTAGGCTACACAATCATGGGGAAGACTGCTGATCTGACAGTTGTCCAGAAGATAATCATTGACACCCTTCACAAGGAGGGTAAGCCACAAACATTCATTACCAAAGAAGCTGGCTGTTCACAGAGTGCTGTATCCAAGCATGTTAACAGAAAGTTGAGTGGAAGGAAAAAGTGTGGAAGAAAAAGATGCACAACCAACCGAGAGAACCGCAGCCTTATGATGATTGTCAAGCAAAATCGATTCAAGAATTTGAGTGAACGTCACAAGGAATGGACTGAGGCTGGGGTCAAGGCATCAAGAGCCACCACACACAGACGTGTCAAGGAATTTGGCTACAGTTGTCGTATTCCTCTTGTTAAGCCACTCCTGAACCACAGACAACGTCAGAGGCGTCTTACCTGGGCTAAGGAGAAGAAGAACTGGACTGTTGCCCAGTGGGCCAAAGTCCTCTTTTCAGATGAGAGCAAGTTTTATATTTCATTTGGAAACCAAGGTCCTAGAGTCTGGAGGAAGGGTGGAGAAGCTCATAGCCCAAGTTGCTTGAAGTCCAGTGTTAAGTTTCCACAGTCTGTGATGAATTGGGGTCATCTGCTGGTGTTGGTCCATTGTGTTTTTTGAAAACCAACATCACTGCACCCATTTACCACCACAAGTTGGTTAAATGACCATGGTGTTACTGTGCTTGATTGGCCTGCAAACTCGCCTGACCTGAACCCCATAGAGAATCTATGGGGTATTGTCAAGAGGAAGATGAGAGACACCAGACCCAACAATGCAGATGACCTGAAGGCCGCTATCAAAGCAACCTGGGCTTCCATTACACCTGAGCAGTGCCACAGGCTGATTGTCTCCATGCCACGCCGCACTGATGCAGTAATTCATGCAAAAGGAGCCCCTACCAAGTATTGAGTACATGTACAGTAAATGAACATACTTTCCAGAAGGTCAACAATTCACTAAAAATGTTTTTTTTATTGGTCTTATGAAGTATTCTAATTTGTTGAGATAGTGAATTGGTGGGTTTTTGTTAAATGTGAGCCAAAATCATCACAATTAAAAGAACCAAAGACTTAAACTACTTCAGTCTGTGTGCATTGAATTTATTTAATACACGAGTTTCACAATTTGAGTTGAATTGCTGAAATGAACTTTTCCATGACATTCTAATTTATTGAGATACACCTGTATTTGATATTGCCCAACTTTACACTTCATAATGCCTTAGTTTGTGATTGTTTTCTTGCTTAAGATGGCAAAATTTTGTCCAAAATATTCACATTAAAATGATGTGCTGTTTATTGAGTGTGTATAGTTTTAATATTAATCTCAAACCGTTACTGTTCTCTGTGTTTCAGGTTACAGAACATTTTGAGCCGTTTTGATGAAGTACTGAATTCGGGGAACATGGCTCTCAGCCTGAGTCAAGGTAAGTTAGCATTAACTTGTTTGTTAACTAGCTAAATCCTTTTTGCAACACGTGTCTCCACTGGCTTCAGTTACAATGCTAATATTAGTTTTGTCAGTGTCTTTGACCACAGTACTGTACCTTTGACATCTGAGCCCCAGCTTTAACCGGAATGATACTTTCCTCTAAATGCATAATCATCATGTTTTACATTAGCATTACTAGAGGGTGAACATCAACAAAGTCATTGTGCACGTCTAAATGCTGGGTTTCTGTGTGCGCTTCAGTCTCCAGTGAGTCCGATTTAACGTGAGTGCTGGGATCTAAATAGGGGAGATGGTGTCAGACTTCCACAGCCTTGGAAATCTCCATGATGTGTTTGGCATATGTCACATGTTGGAAGAGCTGGATCTCCAGGCGGATGACACTGTGCTCTTTTGGTTGTGGTGTAGAGTTGTTGTGGCATAGTAATGTGTTTTACAGTGACTTAACAAGCTATACCGTGGTTGCAGCTGTTTACTTTATATGGGTAAACATGTGTTTATGGGTTAAGTAATATATTTGACTTGAGTGGAGGGATATGTAGGATTTCAGATTAGTGAACGATTAACATGAGGTTTTTAGAGAACAGTTCTTGCTCGATATGCACAATATTTGTACCATATTGAATATTAGAGGTTTATATATTTAATTGTGCATGCTCATTTCCCTTATTTTTACATGTAGGTTATGTTTACTGTCGAAAACTTGTATTAATTTTAAAGGGGTCATATGATGCAATTTCAAATTTTCCTTTTTCTTTGGAGTGTTACAAGCTTTTTGAGTATAGAAAAGATCCCTAAAGTTGCAATGACTAAAGTCTCAAACCCAAAGAGATATTCTTTATAAAAGTTAAGACTTGTCCACGCCCTCCTAAAACGGCTCGTTCAAACACACCCCCACATGTCTACGTCACTGTGTGGGAAGATTTGCATAACACCACCCAAATGTTCACGCAAAGAAAGAAGGTGTAGCTTTTATTCTCGCTGTAGTATTGTTGTTGCCGCTGCCGCCATGTCGTGGAGACGCTGTGTGTTTCGTTGTGAAAGCGAAACTACTTTGTTTGGCCTTCCAAAAGAGGACGATATCCACTTCGTCATGCCTAAGCTGATCCGTGCTGGTCGCTGAAGAAATATCTACTTCGCGCTGTGGATCGCCGATCGGCTTTCACCGTGGACAAAGCAGAGTCCAGCCCGGGGTCGTCATATGTGGTTACTGCAAGCCCGCCGGCCGCACCGTTCTCAAGCCCGCCATGTGTGACGCTGTGTGTTTCGTTGTAAAAGTGAAATACTTTGTTTGGCCACTAGAAATCAGTGGTTAAGTTGTATTTACAACACTGTTCCAGAACAGTTCAACCCAAATATTCAGATGTGTGCAGTACGCTGCGCGATATGCAACGTAACGCATAAAAAGACAGTATAAGTCATAATCAGTAATTATGTCCCCACTGGATGCAACAAATGCCTCGTTTGTAATGGGTTTTAATGTTTTTGTCTCAACCGCATCACAGTATGGTAGGGGCGTAACATTTCCGTCACATGCTTGAGGTATTCGGCCAATCACAACGC